GGTTGGAGGCCATCGCTACTAGGGTGGAGGCCATCGCTACTAGGTTGAAGGCCGGAGGGCATCGCAAGTGGGTTGGAGGGACAAGTGGGTTGGAGGGAGGCCATCGCAAAGTAGGTTGGAGGGAGGCCATCGCAAGTAGGTTGGAGGCCATCGCTATTTGGTTGAGAGACCATCGTGGGAACGGGAGGTAGGAGAGGTAAGAAATAGTAGCGAGCAAGCTGCTTACTAGTAACAAGGATGCAGAAGGGCTCGGGCCCCGGACTTGCAAGTGGCAGTTTTGTGAACTACCAGAAGTCATGAGAGTAATAAGAGTCAAGGCCCTTCTAAGACAGACTGAGCGCAACAGCATGAAGCCCGCAGGCGAAGAAGGATGCAATGGTGACAGACAGAACGCAAAGCATCAACCAACCAAGGACTGAATCTGTTGATTCTGATCCTCAATGATGGGACTTCTGCAGTATGCAGCATGCATGTCTTCACTGGAGCATCAAGAAGTTTGGTGAAATAGTCTTCCAGAACAAAGAACTTGAAGCTCACCTATGTGTTTGGCAGGAGTTGGTTGCATCAAACAGTCCATTCCCCTTTTTTCGATCTCTGTTTTGCAGCTTGGTGAGGCAAACTCCGGGGTTAACAACCCACATGTTTATTTGGATTGACTTGGGTTGACTTGAGACGCAAGCAGATTCTGAACAGCACCCCCAACCCCAAAGGCGATGGCCTCCATCCTAACCTGTAGTAGCAATGGCCTCCAACCTCGTAGCGATGGCCCTCCAACCTAATAATAGCGAGGGCCTCCAACCTAGTAGCGATGTAGAGAAAGCTGACAATGTGAAGGTGCGAGGTTCAAAGGCATGATGTGCCGTAACCAGTGAGCAACAGATGTGCTGTGAACCTTCGTTTGCTCGAGCAGCTCTGCCTTCATTCATGCAAAGCCACCGAGGCCACGGCAATTCTGGTGAACACCGTGGCACGGCCAGAGGTTAATTTGTGATTCAAGGGGTGCTCAATTCTGGTGCTCACACGGTTGATTATCAAACAAGCTCGCGAGCACGTTTGTAATTCACGGGGTGAAGGATTGGATACCGACTGATAAGCGCTTTTGGAACGGGAGACCGCGATCATTGCGCGATCACCGGTGAATCTTTTGCAACGAAACATCAAACTCCGCCCCTGCTGCCCAACTCTCGGTAGCCCCCTGCCACTAGAGGTGTTCATCGGTGCAGAGGTGGAGTTGTCCCAACCAGGCGTTGTAGAGCACCTCTGGATTCAGGCCGGGCTTGAGCGCAGGGGATGATGTGAGATGGGTGCGGGACAAGTGAAACTTGTCCAGTGAGGAGACTTGAAGAATATATTATAGTACTTAGACTTTTCTTCCTTTTCCTTTGTCTTAGTTGCAATTAGTGATGGCCTCCAACCTAGAAGCAATGGCCTCCAACCTAATTACTAGCTACAGACTAATTACTAGCTACTAGTGCTGTAGAAGAAACATAATTCCGCAATTAATTGACCTTTTTGTACTACATACAAGACCTTAAATTCCCCAGGGTCATTGGGTTCTGCCTAGCTATCTGTCAATGCAGTTGATACTTGTTAAGCCTTTGCACAAGGCCATTTCTGGCCTCCAACCCACGAGCGTTGGCTCCAACCTAGTAGCGATGCCTCCACCCTAGTAGCGATGGCCTCCAACCTAATAGCGACCTAATGAAATAGCGATGGCCTCCAGCCTAGGCCTACTAGCGACGGCCTCCAACCTAATAGGGATGGCCCAGGGATGGCCTCCAACCTACTAGCGATGGCCTCCAACCTAATAGCGATGGCCTCCAACCTACTAGAGCTAGAGATGGCCTCCAACCTAATAGCGATGGCCTCCATCCTAATAGCGATGGCCTCCAACCTAATAGCCATGCCCTCCAACCTAATAATAGCGATGGCCGCCTCCAACCAACTAGCGGTGGCCTCCAACCTAATAGGGATGGCAATAGCGATGGCGTTCAACGCGATGGCCTCCAACCTATTAGGGATGGCCTCCAACCTAATAGCGATGGCCTCCAACCTAATAGGGATATAGTGATGGCCTCCAACCTAGTAGCGATGGCCTTCAACCTAATAGCGATGGCCATTTCGCTTGCCTAAGGCCTTGCACTTGTGCACCCTTTGCCCATTGTGACAAGAATGCTTTCTTTGCAATGCTTCCTACTATGGATATGAACAGGAACACCCTGAACCACAAGATACGTATATATAGTGCGATACGTCAAATTGACCTGTGTTGCTTGTCGAGCTCACTTTGTTGCCTTTCTTTTGGTCTCAGTTGCCTGAGGTCACTCGGTACTTTTTCAGCGGGCTCTTCACGCTGGAGCTTTTCATGCGCCTGGCAGCCGATGGCTGTTGTGGCTTCTTTTGCGCAGAGGATTCTCGCTGGAATATGCTGGATATTTTCATCGTGCAGCTGGGCAGCATTGAAGAAAACCCACAATGGGACAAGCCCTGCGAACTTCTTAAAAGACCTGAGAAAGCACCCTAAGTTTACACTGCTAGCTCTTTTCAGATCCTCCAGCCCACAGCAAACACACAGTCAGACTGACCTTCTTCGCCTGTGAGTAGACTCCTGGGCTGCAAGCAGCAGCATTTTTGAATACGACGAACCAAACTTCCATGAAATGACAATCATGTGTGTTGCATGGGTTCAACTAGAGACTAACCTGGCCACTGGAGGGAGTGGATAGGATTGCACAGTAGCATGACCACGTGGGCCAGCAACTTGTCAGGCTGAGCTCGTGGTGGGACTCCTGGAACTGCTTCAGAAGCTTTTTGATTTGTGAAGACTTGACCATGAACACCTCCATATCTAAGAGTGCTTCTTGGAGGGCATATTACTTTCTTACTAAAACTTTGTGCTAGTACTAGTGCTAGGACGGCTGCTGCTGCTGCTGCTGCTGCTGTTGCCACTGTGAAGACGGCGACGACGACTACTACTTCTACTGCCACTGCTGCTGCCAGTGCTAGTGCCAGTGCTACTGCCACTGCTGCTGCCACCCTGCCACCGCTACTACTGCGACGACCAGGAGGGCTGAAGCTGCTATTGCTCGCAATGAGCGCCAAGGTTGCAGAGGCATATTCATGTTGTTCAGTCAACCTGGTCTATCCTGCCCAACAGAAGTGCCGGCACAGAACGTACCCTTTGCAAACTGATGGGTTTGTTGGAAGTGAGTGTGACCAAGACCAAACGCAGGAAATTGGCCTTGAGTTGCTCTACATCACCAGCACAGATAGTGCAGGCAAGGTGAAGTTCGGTGTTCTTGGGTGCGCTAGTGTTGTGCAAATGTGAGCCACGCTTTGATAAAGCTACAAGCATCATCGGCTAACTATTGGAGTTGTTTGCACAAGGCTAAGGTTCTGTGTCTCCAAGGTGAATATGGCTTATGGTAGGCAGGTAGGTAGGTAGGTAGGGCCAAACCGCAAACCATCTAGCTGTAGTGAAGGGCTAATGAGCCGTTTACAAGTACTTTACCCAGATCCATTCGGGGGGCATGCAAGCGAGCCACATGTGCGTATGGAAGAGATTCTGACCCCAACCGCGGAACCGCTAGACTTGCCACAATATGATTTCGAACTTAGAGGTCATGCGAACCCATTGATTTTGTTTCAGATTGGTTCTTTGGTGTTGGAGTTGTGTTTGAAGGAGGTATGGACAACGTGGTGGGCCTCACCGGGCTTCGCGCATTGAGGATCTTGCGGATCACCCGGCTGGTCAGGGAATCAGATGTGGGAGGGGCATGGTATGGCGTGGTCCCCTTTATCCCATGGCCGAAAAAAACACTGGCCTTTCAGGACCCCAATGCTCCTTGCGGTTCTCTTTTACTGTATGTTCCCAATATTAGAGGACAAGGAGACTTGCTTGTGTTGCAAATTTTTGTTTCAAGCTAGACTTTTGATGGGTTTGTGTTTCCAGGTGTCTCCTGGGCTTTTGTAAAAACTCTGTTGAGCTACTAATAGCGATGGCCTCCAACCTAATAGCGATGGCCTCCATGAACCAATTTAGGCAAGTGCCCTTAAATTCTAGGAACCACAGGAATAGTGCGACGTTTCTTCAGCGAAGCTCCCCCCACCCTCAGGCAGAGGGAGGTTCCTTGCAAGAAGTGTGAGCTTTCCCGGGTCCCTACATAGTAGCAGCCGGGTGACACTCTGGCTGCTTTGATTTGTCTTGGTCGTTTGTGTTTTTGTAGTTGTTGTGGTCCTTTGGTTGCTGGAGCAGTCTTTGTGGTTGGGTGACTAGTTGTCTTTGTGGTTGGGTGACTAGTTTGTGTTTTTGTCGTTCTTTTCCTTCCCAACCTTCTTGTCAAAGCTTCATGCCATTGCTGCACCTTCTATGATTTGTGGCCATGCCTGCAAGTGACTAGGTGAAGTTGGCTCGGGTTGCACGGATTCTCCGTTTCGTGATGGCTTTGCGTACTTTGACCCAGTCAATCATCTACACTTTGATGCTTGGCGGATAGGGATGCTACGGGCAGCCCTGACAACTTGAGTTTCCTCGGTTAGAGGCTTCCTACGTTGGCACTCGAGACCCAGACATGTATATAAGCAGATAAATATTGTCAAACATGGTTTTCCATCCTCCGCTGTCCCACAGTGTCATAGTCATAGTTATAGTTCAAGCTTAATTATAATAGGCTTACCCGAGCTGGCCATGGAGGAATGAGGTGCGTGAGGCTCAAACTTATTGCACAGCATCCAGGAAGCAGTGCAGTCCAGGTATCCTTCCTTTGGCGACGCAAGCGCGACATATCTACCATTGACTCCACTTTGCACTGAAACAGTCGTAACTAAAACTAAGCTTATCCGAATCTAGATGGAACTAAGGTCCCACGAGACAGTCGTGCAATATACCTAGGATCGTTATTGACAGATACGGTGAGTAACACAGCAGAAATTAAACAACAGAATTGCCATGACCATGAAAACTTTCAGACAACTCAAGATCTTCTGGGACAAGGCGAATACCACTACAAATTGGAAACTGCCTGTGTTCAAAGCAATCATACAATAAAAACTTACGTACAGCCTGGAAGTGATCCAACTCACTCAAAATGAGCTAAACAAACTAGAGGCTTTTCAGATGAAGGGACTGAGACGAATTCTCAAAATACCATCCACTTTCATAGATAGAGCGCAAACTCAAAAACTCTCAGACTTTTGGAGGCAGAGGAAGATAAGTTAAGTCTATTAGGCCACATTCTCCGAGCAGATGCAAACGATCCTCTCCGACAGGTCATTTTTGAAAACCAAACTTGCATCCCACGAAAACCACCATATCGAAGGCAAGGGAGGCCGAGAGTGGACTGAAACGGTGAAAGACACATTCCATTGTCTCGGGCACAGCCCGCCCCAAGAGCCAAGCCTCCAAGACATACGAATGCTCCAAAATGCCGCCAGGAACCGAGCATATCCATTTTGAGGAAAACAAGAATCAATCATTCTCTGGAAAAGCAGGGCGCTGCCCCATCAGCCTGCGGGCTTACACAGTCATTACATTTCAAAGGACAAATGCCTGTCCCCGAGCGTCGTGTCACCTCATACTATGTCAATTTATTGAACCCGAACAAGGGAACGCTTGTTGTGCCGCGCTCTGGCACACTCCTTGCTTGGCGCTAGAAAAAACTTATCCTGTTTACACCACTCTGTATCATACGATGTTCCGCGAGGTGGGTGCCGAGGGACTGTCAGCAATGCCTTCAACATTGGGCTTTCACCCAAAGTTGAACGCTTTGTGCGAAAGGGGGCAGAGGCAGGGGCCAGGAGGGAAAGGGAAGAAGGGATACGGACAGATCGGGATTGAGACCACCTTTAGGACTTTAGGCCGCTCTTGATCCCCGATTCCTTTTTGACACTCATTGCGCAGCATTGCGATCCTCTCTGAGGAAATCTTTGATATGGGTGACTTGGCGCAGGAGAAGATGAATGAACTACCCTGCTGGTGTTTATTTTCGTGACATGATCAGAGGGTACTTGCACTGTGCCATGTCACACAAGCTTCCTATGTCACGAGTCCACTTCATGTAAACAATCCAAGATGTTTTACTTCTGAAGTGTGTGTGTGTGTGTGTGTGTGACTCGGAGCCAAGTGAGCTCCCAAACAGAGTCCAATCAGGCTATCTTCTTGCTCTTTCTGATCGTGTACATCTTTGGGATACTTTTCCTTCAGGATCCGCAATGCGCAGAAGCTGTGCGGAAGCAGTCCCAGCAATACTAGCCTTTGGATCGGACGTTATCTCGTGCTGCCCCAGTTGACTTTTGAGTTTATTGTAAGGGCAAATCCTTTCTTTTGGAAATCTGCTGTGGCTCCAGGCATTGAAGGATTATGAGAGCGATCCCCACGTCTCACTGACGGATGAGGACCGTTTTGCAAGCAGTGACGCCTTTCATTCCAAGTGGTGAGCACCGATCCGAATGAAACTGATTCCATTCTGATCTCAGTCTGCAGCTCTGTGGTGATCCTGTTGATGGCCCACGCATCGACACTGATTAGAAACCTTAATGTTGGCAGAAGTTACCCTGACAGAAGACAGGAGTTGGCCGCGAAGGATCTCTACTTCCGTAGTTTGTGGCTCCTGGACGTTATTTGGGCAGCGGGGTAGCTACAGCCCTATTGGTCTTACGCACCACCTTCAGGTCGGTCAAGTGGGGCCTTGTTGGTAGCAGGAAGATTCCTTGGCCCAAAGGAGAGTGGCTCCAATTGATGAAATAGCAACCAAATAGCTTAGGTAGGCTTAGGTATAAAAACAGACTTCAAGGAACCTAATAGCAATGGCCTCCAACCTACTAGCGATGGCCTCCAAAGCTTGCTTTGTTCCCATCAGTCTTGAGTTGGCCTGGTGCCTCGAAGTGAAGATCAAGAAAAGCTCCACTGACAAAGTGGGAAAGCGATGGTAACCTGGTAACCAGAGCACGGATGGTCCAATCTGTGCGACCTGCTCCAAGTCCTTTAAGGACTCAAGGAACTCATGCTTTTGGATAGGCCACAGGGAAAGGGGAGGGCAAGTCAAGGCAAAAGAGCCCACAAGTGCTTCTCACGCATCAATGCGTGACCCCTGAAATATCCCCGTGCGCTTAGGATTTCCATGCTGAGCCTCTTCATGAGCATTGCGGGTGGTGTGAGCTGGGGACAGCTGCTGCTGCCCTTGCATGCAATTTCGACTGTTTGGATTTGGGTCTTCCTTTGCTACATCTCCTTCACGTCGCTTGGAAGCGAACAGGCGCAAGTGAGGGCGCACGCGAGGGCGAAGGGGTTCGAAGGAGTTCGAAGGAGGCAAGTTTAGCGACGAGAAGAGGCTAAGATGTAAATCTACAGATTGCCAATGCACATTGCTAAAGCAAATTGCTATAGCGATGTGCAATGTAAAAGAACAGGAAAGGATAAAAAACGACAGAGAAACAGACACGGGATGGGACAGAAAGCCCAGTGAAGGGACAAAGTCACCCTCTGTGGTATGGTGATTGGAGATACTGTAGGTTTGGAGGGTCCAGTCGTACCTTTGAGAAGGTACGACTGGATCCCTAGGGGCTCAAATCTTCGACACAGCGTCCCTGCAGGATTAGAGCTCTAAGTGCAAAGGGATTTAAGAAAGACACTACTGGGGGTCACTTGAGCAGTTTGCAGAAGCAACCCAATGACTCCGAGTCATTGTCATCATGAAACCCAAATCTGGTAGTCGGACAAAGACAAGCAAACGTTTATGCGAAGCCTACTAGCGGCTGGAAGCTACTAGTAACAAGGGCATCGCTACTAGGAGCAAGAAGCTACTAGTAACAAAATTGCTTCTTGTTACTAGTAGTACTGTCGGACAAAGACAAGTAAAAGTTTATGTGAAGAGTCGCACAAGGAGGACCTGCGTACATGCCGCTGGGTGGGGCTGTGCATGAACATGACGTGTGTTTCCTCAAGGTAAGCGACCAGGGGTGTTTGGAAACAGTGTCGATACAGGGCTTGGCTTGGAACAATATGTTGACATGTTTTTGACAATGGAGAGTCATGTTTCCGGGCTTGTTCTGTTGGGTTCGGGATTTTCTTTTGGATTCCTTCGTTTTTTCGGCAATTTCTTTTCTGCTTCTCTGCTTTTCTGCATTTTTGTTTGATTTGAGATTGCCTTTCTGCTGCCTTTGCTGTTCTTCTTTTTCTACGCTTTTCTACTTCTTTGCTTTTCCGCTTTCTTGCTTCTCTGCATTTCTGCTTTTGCTTTCCTGCCCTTTTGCCTCTTTGCCGATTCTCTTATTTTCGTTCGTTTGTTTGCCTTCAATGGGGGAACAAATCCTTTTCATTGCGTTTGTCGATCGGAAACAAAAGAAGCACAGCAACACAGGACAGCAAGAACGACAGCAAACCAACCAAATGAAGAGACTTAAGGCCGACCCCAGCCTTTTGCAACGGGTCGCCGCAGTAGGGCCCCAACTCTGGAGGAGAGACTTGCTTGCCAATAAGGTACTTCGCAGTCCTGAACGTCGTTACGGGGGTATTTTGTCAGCATCTCAACAATTTAGTATGCCTTTTGTTTGTTTGTTTGTTTGATTGTTTCTTTTTTTGTTTGTTTGATTGTTTTTGTTTGTTTGTTTGTTTGTTTGTTTGTGTGCTTGTTTGTTGGGGCGCGCAAGTTTTCAGACATGGTGTCACCACTCAATTAAGGAGTGCAATAGACTCAGCGCAGAGCGACCACGACGCTGTTCTCCAGTCAATCCTGGCAAACAAGCAGGCTCATATTGAAAAGATCCGATACTTGTTCCTCAGCAGCAATGGCACAATAGCATCGACTGAAGGAAAGTCGCTCATCCGGGAGTGTTTCAATCTCACGTGGCGAGGTTCAATGAGATTGATGCAGAAGAGGTCGGCGTCATCACTTACCAGACGCTTGTTTGCGGATGGCACTTTGATTTGGACAATTTATCACGTGCTCTATATATATATATATAGAGCGCGATTTTTCTCATCTTCCTTGTTGTCTTTAGTGGTCTAGAGTGCATCTCAAGATTTTTGATGGGTATGCAGCATGCGTATCATTTTGATTTGCTCCTTCCCGTTTTGGAATAGTTGGACCTGTGAAAGCTCAATGATTGTCGCTCTCAAATTGTGCATTATGTTTTTTGTGCATAGCACTTTGTGAATCTACTAGCAGCAGCAGCAGCAGCAGCAGCAGAATCACGAATGCGTCAAAGATTGCGGACCAGGTTGTATCCTCAAAGGAAGGTGTTTTACGGGTTGCATGTGTTTCCATTCACATCTTGCAAGCAATGGACATACATCTACATCATGAGTTCAATCCTGAGCTCTGAGGATGTTTCAGGACAAAGTTGGCACCAAGGAAGTGCAGACGCAACTTGTAACAAGTTAAGGTCCTTGTAGGTCTCCCATGCGTCGTGTTGTTTTTGTTGTTATTGTTTCTTTTTTGTTGGTCTTATTGTTAACACGTTGTCTCGTGTTGTGTCGCCTTGCTTGTAGCTCGAGTATGAGACGTACACACGCAAGGACAGCAGATGTATTGGGAGCGTGAGGTCTAAGGGCTTGTGAGTGATGTTCACATCCTTTTGAACACACTGCACATCAGCTGTTCGCCACTCAAACATGGACCGCATAAAGCCGCAGCTGTTCGGTCCCACAGCGGCAAAAAGCACATCGCCACAGAGCACCGGAACAGAGATCGCCAAACCAGGTATTTCGAGTCCATTGACCTGGATATTTGGGATGCGCCTTGGCCTGTGTAATCCGCCGTCGTTGCACTATGCTTCCAGTAAAAGAAGAAATGGTTGGAGGCCATCGCTAAGAGGTTGGAGGCCATCGGTAGTAGGTTGGAGACCATCGCTCTTAGGTTGCCTTTTTTGGCCTTTTGGACGCCAAGGTGCCAAGCGCCTTTGCGCGTACCCTAACGTGGCACATGCCACGGCTTCTTGTAGAAGGCTTTGGTGCTTCAAAATCACCATGAAGGTGAAGCTGGAATGGAAAACCACAACCTGCTAAAAACCACAACGTCGGCTTGGACAGGACAGTGGGCCAGTGGGCTCTTGGCACTGATCCTCACTGCCCACAAAAGACACACCTGGGTCGAGAACCAGCACGGGATCGTGTGGATCTTGGTGGGCTGCTCTCCATCGTCGCAGAGCAGCAACGCAGCTCGGTAATGTCCAGCTCCCGACTTGCCTAAATGCGTACAAGCGGCAACTACCTGGTAGTCAAAGTATTCAAGGTGCAGCTCATCGCCTGAGAAACGTGGCAGCCGAAACGAGAGATCGAAGGACACGATGGAGACTGGGATTGTGTGCGCTCGGCCAAGCTGGATGCAAATCAACATGGGGAGGTGAACGTAAGCGGCCACCATGCCCGAGTCATGAGTCCAGTTCTCCACTAGCTGATGCCATTCGCAGTGCAGCTGTGGCATTACAGTGAGTCTCAAAGCAAATGCACCAACCTCACGACCGTATCTTTTGACAAAGCCATTCTCACGCTGGTAGCGGCGTTCCCACAAACCATGAAACACAGAGGGGTCCATCTGAGCCATCAAAGCTAGAGTGAACTCCGCAGCGTCACATTGGGCAGAGCCATCCCATCCGGGCAGCTTCTGCTCAAAGAACAGCATCCACTGAACCAGCGTGGGCTTTTCACCCCTTTTCAAAAGAAGACTCAGGCCGTCCTGAAGCATACCCCAATCTGTCATGGCAAAGTGCCGGCGCTGTAGGCTTGCCCACATCATGGCAACCATGGATGCATTGATGAAGCAGTGATTGGAAGGGTTGCTCAACCTCAAATTTAGCAGCTGCTTCTGAATCAAGCTAGGAGGCAGGGTGCCTACAGTTGCTTCATCATCTGCAGCTTGGCTCCCAGTGGCTGTCGCTGGGAGTGTGGTTTGAGCTGAACGCCCAGTATCTGCCAAAGGCTGCCTGTCTAAGGCCGATTTGCAACTTCCATGGCTGACTCTTCCCTTCCTGAGGGCGTGAAATTTCTGGAACGCATCCTCCCCCTTGAGCAGGCTCAACAACTCCTCGAGCAGCTCCTGGGACTGGCAGGGACATTGATGGCTTGGTCTTGTTAAGCACCAATTGCTTGTCTCGGGAGTGCCACTGAAGGAAAGGCCAAGTGCGGTCTTCCAGCATCACCCCCTTCTTGACGAGCTGGGCTCGAATCGGACAATTGATCTCCCCCAGACATCAGCTTCAAGAGGCGCCTTTGAAGCCCCCCTTAGCATTTGCAGGACCAGGTGGGCTCGCATCCGACCATTCCTTGAGGCTTGGTGAAGTAATGGGGCACATCCTTCTGGACTTGACACCAAGAAGAGCCCCCCCCATCTGTTGAAGGCCCTGCTCGTGGCGCAAGACTAGGTTGGCGGATCTTTGTCCTCGGTCACCTGGTCATTTTCTCTGGCCGACGACTGTCCCCAGCATTGGAGCCCCTCCAATGATTGAGCCGTGAAATTGTCCTCCATCAGGTCCGAACTGAAGGCGTTGATGCAGTGGGAAATTAGGGTGGGACAGGCCAGCAAATGAGCTTGAGCATCCATGCAAGCAAGTCCGCAAAACCTGGCAACCATTCTCACAGTCCAGGGGCGGCTCCAGCAATCTAAGGATCTGGGGTACAAACATCATGAGACCTCGTTCTTGACAATGATGAAAGGAAAGGAGGTGAAGTTGGAGATCACTACCGCCCATTGTGTCCCCACACATCATGCATCGCCCACACAAAAGCTGAACAAGAGTCTCACTTTGCCAAAGTCTATTGAACTCACGATCAACAAGCCGGCGTGGCAGTTCGGAAGCCAAGGGCTCGACCAGGTAGTCCGCAGGCAGGAGGAGCCTGAGCATGTCAGAGTCAAGCGCCCAAAGGCACCAGCGCCGTGTCATTGATGCGCATGTGAGTCATAGCAAGCTGGCTAAAGCCCACACAGTGGTGCTGATGGTGTTGGACGGCCAGGGCTGCAAACACACCCAGTGAGCGGGAAAATCACCTGTTTTGAGGTGGGTGGGCGCCGAGAAAGGTCACGGGAACCCTCAAAGGAAATACCGCAACGCAGGCGTTGATGATGTGTCAGTTGCGTCCGTGCTCGAGCTAGGTATGGTCCAATCTTGCCACTTTGCAAGGCGGATCTGAGGGTAGGACCAATGTGGTAGAGAGGAAATGCGAGCATGCCGGTTCACCCTCGACTCCTCGACAGAGTCACGAAGAGGATCGAAACGATGAAGAGTCCGTTGATGCTCTTGCATGTGGAGGGTGAGGGAGGCACGAGTGGAGAACCGCTGCTGACACAAATGGCAATGCAGGATGGGGCAGCCATGCTGTCGACTCCAGGGAAGATGACAGAAAGGGGATGGGGTGCGCGCAACAAGCTCACGGTGAAGTCTCATCATCTTGTCAATCCCCGGTAGAAGAACTTGCGGGTGTTCATCTCTGAGGTGAATAGCAAGTTCACGACTACTAGCGCAGCACTTGCCACATTGAATGCAATGATGGGCCATAAAGTCGCAGAGGCCACGATCAGCTTGGATGTCAGTCCACTGACCTGAGCAAGCAAGTCCTGTGCCTTGGAGCGGAGTTGGCGAAGGTCCATGGCCTTGGCTTGTGAGGGTGGCAAAAAGAAATGAGGGATGGTGGAGGGCTTGGTGGAGCTCATTCCAATTGCAGAGCCAACGTCAAAGTTGATTAAGTCACTCCAAGTTTGGGCAGAGACACCGGCAGCTGCATTTGACTGCTTTGGGACGTGCTCGACAGGACGGACATGGCATCGTCTGAATACAACATGATCCCGAAAGGGCCCCCACGAGTGGAAACTTCGACGGCAGTGAGCGAAGTCCCTCGAGCGCCTGAGTGGCATAGCCCACATGTTTTTGGAAGGCCATCGCTACTAGGTTGGAGACCATCGCATCGCTTGGAGGTTGGAGGCCTTCGCTTTTAGGTTGGAGGCTATCGCTGCCGCTACTACTAGGTTGGAGGCCATCGTTGTTGCGTTGGAGGCCGTTGGAGGCCATGGCTACTAGGTTGGAGGCTAGCGCTACTTGTTTGTGGGCCTTTGCTACTAGGTTGGAGGCCATTGCCACCACGTTGGAGGCCATCGCTGTTAGGTTGGAGGCCGTTGGAGGCCGTTGGAGGCCATCGCTACTAGGTTGGAGGCCATCACTACTAGGTTGGAGGCCATCGCTCCTGGCCCATCACAGAAGCAGTGTTGTCAGTGACAGACGCCCAGGGCGTTATCTGAGGCATGGTCATTCTTCAAACTTTTAGATCTGGATTCAGGTGCGGAAGCTGCTGACAGGCTGTTGAAGAGTTCAAGTGCGACAGACGCACGTGGATGCAAACTGAATTTTCTCTGACAGGGGGTGCCATTGAGGTGGAGGCGTGGGACTGCATGCCTTTGTTGGCCCAGCTGCATTTATCCACTCTCTCTTCAAAGCCACTTCCGGACCCAGTTAACATTGTAAGAACATGGTGAGCCAATCCCGAATCCAGATTAACCTCGAAAACAAGCCGCCACTCGACATATGCTGCAAGGAAACTACGAAGAACCATGCATCACATTGACATTTGCACTTGCAGGTGCATATCAATGTGCTTGCGGGCGCATGGGTGTACAGATGTAGACGAAGGTATTTGAACATTCCCCACCAAGCTCAACCAAGCGCAGATCTGCAGGAGTTCTTGATGGGCTGCCTCCGTTTGCGTGGAAATGCCCGTGCCATGGATATGGCGAAACTCTGCCATGACCAGGCGAAGGAATTGGATCGCCTTGAAAGCATCATTCTGTAGTTTAGGCGTTTCTATGCATTTCTAGGCTACCTACTGTACTAACGCCATTGCAGTTGGAGTCTGGTGGCTTGGACCGGTCTAAGTGTCACGCATCAGAGAGTCCTTTCTTGCATGCCTGATTTGCTCACTTCATCTCACTTCCACGATTCTATGAGGATTGCAGTTTCTCCCCGTTTGTAGCAGGCATGGCTGATCAGAAACCAGTCGCGTTTCTGGAACTTTGTAGAGGCTGGGCCCGCACTTGGTAGAACAATTAAAGTTCCCACGTTATGCAACACACAACCCGGTGAACGCCGGCCTAAGATGCTTAAAGAGGAGCCTTCTCTTGAAGCGGGTGGGGGCAAGACATTTATTTGATTAACGCATTCTTGAGGAAGCAACGGCCTTGTGTTGTGCATCGCCAGAAATTACGAAGGGCGAAGTGCTTCTTTAGCGACCACTGCCATTGGGCTCTCAATTCACTCTCCACACTGCAAAGGAAACTGCACCAGTGCTTTTATATTGTTGTACCGGGAACGCGTTGGTAGGAGGACTTATGATGGTTGTAACCACCGTCCGAACTGAAAATCTGCGAGATCCCACCAGCGGCTTGAAGCAATAGCCCTTGCAGGTAAAAAGTAAATAGCTCATAGCGCCCTAGTTTGACTTCTGGGACTGCACGAGGGTGTGGAGATGAATAGTTGTACCTCGTCATGCAACCCCAAAAAGCAAACAATAACCTTGACCATTAGTTTCTGAACGGCTTAATTGCGGATGTCCTGCATGCAGCTGGGTACGTGGGGAAGAACAAGGTGTTTCTGGACGTGAAAACCATCTCCAGCCAAAGAGTCGGTCTAGCCTTTAAGGAGACGCTTAGACAATGTCTTCTTGGAACTGAAGAAGTGCAGCATCCGCGTGCACGAGACACCCTTGACTCAAAAAGAACAACACACTTGACTCAATCGATCAACTCGCTTTGGATCGAGTCGACGAGAGTTGAGTCGAAGAGTGCAGGAGGAGCTGATCCGCACACGACAGCGGCTCGATCAGCTCACGGAGCAGCAGGTGCCAACGATTCGAACGCGCGGACGTGTCGCATCAGTTAGGCTGCTCTAAGGTATGGAACCCTTTGCCAAGACATCCGAGTGGCATCCGGAGGGGAGTTATAGTTCTTTTCATGTCAGAAGGGGGCACTGTGTTTTCTTTGAGACCTTTGCAGAAACAGTGGCAGGTAGCAAGCAGGCAACCACAAAACCGAAGCGCCGCATCAAGACTGCAGGCAAATTAGCAGTGGTGGAGACGGCATTCTGGAGCGGAGCAGCAACGCCAATGAGTCTTTCCGCAAACATGTTGCCTGTCACCTCACATTTTTGTCCCTGTAAGAGCGAGCTTCTCGTCCTGCCAACTGTTTACAAATCATGCGTCATACCGTCATACTGTACACTTTGACTAGTCTTGAATGTGTGAGTTCTTTGTTGGAGGACGGCTTCGACGGTTTGTCGTTGACGTAAGTGTCAACTACTTGGATCATCTTGGATCCAAATCCATGTTTGGGCCGGCTTGAATTTTTCCAAGAAGGATCGCAGCGGTCGGCCAGTCCCATTTGAAATTGGGTACCAGGAAAGGATTCGGAGACGATGACTGATCGGCATAAAAGGGTCGGATGTCCAGGGTGCTCACTCTACTCCTGGCATCGCTACGAACGGAGCAAGAAGCTACTAGGTGCTCCTGGCCTTACTACTAGGAGCAAGGACGCTACTAGCAACCTGGAGGCATCAGGTCCATCGAGTCAAAGATCCGAGTCCTTCTGGTCCGAGATCCGCAGGTTCCAAAGGAACCGGTCCTGGGAGTCCAAAGCACCAGGCGAGAAAAGGCCAGACAAAAAGATACCCTTTTCTTCCTAGTAGCGATGCCCTTAGTAGCTTCCTGCTCCTAGTAAGGCCAGGAGCCCCTAGTAGCTTCTTGCTCCCAGTAGTGATGCCCTTGTTACTAAAGTAAAGAGACCAGAGAATAGCATGCAGCGTGGATTGCATCATCAAGCGTTCAACAAACATTCTGGATTGAAAGACATCGGGGTGCGGCTGTCAGGACATGTCAGAACCAGCCCGCATTTTTTTTGCAAACTGGACTCAGCTACTGGCTACATGTGCATATCATGTGTGTGTTGTGTGTGTGTGTGGGCGCGCGCGCCCGCACCTTGTTTCCATCCGCAGTTGAAGGGCCAGCACCCCCCTCAGCCCCAGAAGCCAGACTCCGCCCTCCGATTCAAAACCCCCAAAAATGGACAAAGACCACCCGTCAGAGAATACCCATTGCAAAAATCATTTTCTTACAAAACCATCCCACAACCTTCTGCACAAGTTGCCCAAGTTTTGCTCTGCACACCCCTTCTCTTTGGTTCTTTTCTCCTTGTGATCTGACGGGTGAGAGGGGGGCGGAGGAAGGTGCAGAGCGACAGACAGTGTGACGGTCATGGACTTGGCCGTTCAACCTGTCGAGGCAGGGTAAACTTCAGGCAAACAGGGTGAAACTCTTCGTGAAGTTGAGCAGAATAAACCGGAATTTTGCTTCATTGGACCTTTCTTTCTTCCTTTTTCACGATCCTTGTCGATGTTGTTTCGGAAAGCGTGTTGGGTGATATTGGGAGCATTGACTGAAATCTTTTGACTGGAAATCCCTTTGTATTGACCTAGTGTATAACGAAACGTCTAGTGTGTTTGCAGAGGCAAACCGTTTACAAAAACATGCTCACCAAGAGGCTCACCGGAAAGTCTTAACGTTTGCACATATGGCAACTTCAGGAAATCCTGCCGTGTAAGCAGCTTTTCCTGACAGAGCTTTGTACATCATGTGACTGGTGGTGATGAGGGTGATGACAATAACAAGCAGAAGGACGTTGAGGTTGAAGTGTGAGGAAGGAGGAGGATGCGGAATGGCGACTGCGATGCCACAGCAATAGCTACCGCGGGAAACCATACCAGAGACAATACCAGATACAGCCAGTTCAATTAAGAGGTTTTGCAGGGACCGACCCCATTTGCTAAAGGCCCTTGGATTGAAGAGCCTGAAATGTACGCCAGGAATCATTTGAGGTGGAGCGGCCTCAACAGAGCCCAACAATCCGACCAGGACGCATGGAGTGCTTTGAGTTACACTTGTCTCCAACCTAATTGCGAACTGGTAGCGTCCTTGTTACTAGTAGCGATGCCAAGAGCCCCTAGTAGCGAACATTGCTCCTAGTAGTCAGGCCAGGAGCCCCTAGTAGCGTCCTTGCTCCTAATAGCAAATATATTGGACCTTTCTGCAACTGCCTTTTTCTTGGTTTCTAATAGCAATGGCCTGCAAACCAATTTTTTGTGTCTCCCATCTTTTAGAGACCACCCATTTTTTTTCATGTCTGGAGGTTGTATTGCAATTGCATCTTGACACTTGGTTTAAAACAATTTGGCTTTTTGATAACACCTATTCGCTGAGTTCCACTTGGATGTTGGATGATCCACTGTATGCCTCTTTTTTTGGAAGGACACCTCTGGAAGAACGAAACCGGAGAGACCCTGGACGTGGCCATCAAAGGCGGAGATGAAGTTGTGTCAAGCTGGCACCACGCCCCTTCAGAATTCGACCTGCCATTCACGCGCGTCTTTGTATCGCTGCGTTATATATAATATATATATATTATTATATTATATATACTATATATATTATATATTAATTATATAGATAGATACTTTTAAATTTAGCTATTTGTCTCTCTTATTTGTTTGAGGGAAGCTTTGTCCTCGTTTGTTGCATATCGCAGGCGTGCGTTCCTCCACCATGGATATGGCTGAGGAGATTCTTGACCTCCTAAAGCGCCAGCATAACGAGGCACCACATTCTTTGCAAAAAAAGCATGCTGAAAGCCAAAGCGGACATTTTTTCGGCAACATCTGGCAGCCTTGAATCGATCTTTGTGACACCATTGCGCTAGGAACCGGGTCTTTCTATTCTATGTAGAGGGACCATCGTGCTGTCCATGCTAGATCGCAGACCCAAGTTCATGCATGCATCAATTGCACTATCAAGGGTTTTCAAGCTCAGCCACATTGGAGGCCATCGTCCATCGCTATTAGGTTAGAGGCCATATTGTAGAATGCAAGGCCTGACACGTTTCGAACCAGGTCGTTAAAAGACTGGATTGGCAAGAGTCGCTCTTAAAGGAAATGGCGGTCGACAGGAGCGGTTGATGAGTTTCGGCTTGAACTTACTTCCAATGGCATTGTGTACCTATACCGGTATAGGTTCATCTTTTCCAAGAGGTGGCGTCCAGAAAAGAGCTAATTTTTTCTGGGCCTTTTGCTATTAGCGGTGGCTGGGGGTTGGGGTAATGGAATTGGACATCATTTCGCGTGAAATTGGAGGCAATCCCACATAACCATCTCCTCTCTTCTAAGCGTAGAGCCATCATTAAGCTTCACAAGACGGTTGATTTGTACATGGGCACTGTGTTCAAGCGCATCAATTCCTTATTTTGCGATCGGGGACGTGTTTGCTTCTCTCCCCTTTTGCTCGGCATGTTGTTGGCAAGTTGTGCTTGCAAGTGGGATTGCTCCAGAACTCAACTAGGGTTAAGCAGGACAGCAGTTGTCCCAGAGGGCACAAGTTGGTAGCCTCCAGTTCTTCATCTATTCATCTTGTGTTCAGTCACAATTCAGCTTTACCTTTGTGGCTGGTGGAGCTCCCGGTTTTCTGGCCCTTGGCCGTGTTGCTTGTTTGGCTGTGAGACCTGCTCATCTATTCGCCACAGGCTATAGGAAGGTGTAGCGGACCCACAGTCACTCCAGCGGTGTGGGTGAAGGGGCCGACGGGGTAACCCCAATGTCAGGGCACCCGCTTGTGGGATTGATTGTGAGCAGTGTTCTCGCCTACAAGACGACCATGCTTTGATTCGCAAGGGGTTGCACAAGCAAGCCTCGGAGGCCAGCGCTAGTAGGTTGGAGGCCATCGCTACTAGGGCCACTAGGGTGGAGGCCATCGCTATTAGGCGCGTCAGGGTTTTTGCTTTCTTTGCACCTTCATATCGCACAGGACTTGCCGCCAAGAGGAGGACCAGCTGAAGGAAGAGAAGAACGACCAATTGGAGGTTTCTGGGGCATGGAGGGGTTAAAGGACTTATATAAATGCTTGCAAATTGAAGGTGGGAAGAGAAAGAGACAGAGACAGAGAGAGAGACAGACAGACAGACACACACACACAGGGCAAGCAATCCAGCAGCCACCTTCAAGAAGTAACACACTTTCAAGACCCGGCAAGTTTGGCCGGGCATTGGTGTGTCTGTAGTTGCACTGTTGTGGAGTGTCAGGGACTATCATATGATGGCATGTGTATGCATGATAAGTGATAATGTATATATATATATACACGTTTCTTTTTGATTTTATTTGCGAATGGTAGTGCGTGATCAACATGTGCACGTGGAGAAGAACCTGGGAAGGGTGCGTAACTTGGATACACATGTCCAATACTGTTACTGAGTTGCATTGTCCTGCCGCCAGCGTTTGTTTTGAAGTGGCTTCCCACAGCAGACAATGGACCTTCAACAAACCCACCCATGACAAACATGTTACACTATATGAATATATACATATATATATATAGTTTTTATTCATGCGCAATTTCCAAGTCATGCCAAACTCAACCAAAGCTACTTACGGCATCTTGCGCCATGGGCTCAGTACGCTCCATGCGTTCTGTGAAGTTGATATGCCTATGGCTGAGCCTATGGCTCGGGTTGGCTTTCCTTGCACCTCGCATTCCTGCGGCGCCGGTCCGCAGCCCCGCTGTATTGGCCAGGGCCAAGAGTTTGGACCGATATGTCCCACCGATGCTTCGCCAAAGACTTGGCGACGGTGCACTGGTTTCCACCCTAATTCAGAATTGCGCATGGCAATTATGAATACATGACCTGAATCCGAAGGCCTATATAGTGAAATATTCGCCTCCATGTGCTGGGAGATTGGACTCCACTACTGGCTACTGCGACATAGATTATGTGTCTTTTTGTCCTAGGCAAGCTCATTCGATGAACTTCATTGCGCAAAACTGGAAGAGCGCAGCTTAGATATTCCCCAGTAACACTTGAAATATGAATGACGGACTTTGTTTAGTTTTCCCTCAGTGCACTATCCGCACTATTTGACATCTCGAAAGTGAGGAGCAAGCGGATGGTTGGGCACACACCCTTGGCCGTGCTGCGCGTGCTGCTCATGGCCTCTGTGATAGCTGTCGTTGGCACTTTCGTAGCGGCTCCGGCCATTTGTTTCGGCCTGCTGGTGAAGAAGGCACGTTGGGTTGGAGGCCATTGCTCTTAGGTTGCAGGCCATCGCTCTCAGGCCTCAATAATTATGTTCTGTGCGAGGTCACGATGCATTGCACTGTGAGAAATCCAGCCGACAGGATCGGAGGCGAAAGTGGGTGGATCTCATCCTTTGTGCGTGGGCGAAGATGACAATATCACCCTTCTTCCGGGTGACGATCACGGGCAAAGAGAACCTGCCTGATGACGAGGCATGTGTCTATGTGGCGAATCACCAGTCTTTCATGGACATCCTGTCAGCATACCAGTCTTTCGGAGTTCTTTGCTGTAAGTTTTTGCATGCAACCCCTGTTTTTTCTTCAAATCTGTAAACGTGATGTCCTCCAACCTAATAGCAACGGCCCCCCCTGTGTTTTTTCTTCAAATCTATGTATAGATCCAGCCCGCATTTCTATGATATAATGTTGACCTTCCCATGTCCCGTGTGAATCGAAAGATGTGAAGTGAACCACTGGGTCTCCAAGCATGGATGCAGCATCAGTTGAGTGAACGTTGGACAAGAATCGAACTTGGTCAAGCCCTTCAAGTTGTGAGTCGACTTGAGGTTGTTCAAGCCCTTCAAGTTCATCTCCAAGGCATCGATCCTCAAGTTCCCGTTGATTGGTTGGGTCATGAGGCGAGCCAAAACCATCACCATCGAACGTGAGGATCGCAAGTCTCAGCTGAAAACCTTCCGGGACTCGGTCGATGCATTAAAGGATGCTTGGATTTTTGAAGTAAGAACCTCTTTGATGGGTCTTGCTTGGTTGATCTTGGATGGTTCTTGTTTGGGTTGTGAATGGTTGGTGGTCTTCAAAATGCTCATTGGATGATTAAAGAAGGACACAGATGATAGAAGTAGGAGCCTTGAGGGCCCAGACTTTGGACGCAAATCCCGGACAAAATGAAAGAAAGAGACAACATGAGACAACCCGACTTGTTGACAGTTGTGTCACATTCTGGGGCCTGAAGCTGAGGACGGCAACTCCCTTTTTGTTTTTTCCCGAGGGCACACGCAGTAGCGATGGCCGGCTCTTGCCCTTCAAGCGTGGCCCAGTGTCGATGGCCAAAAGGGCAAAGGTCCCCATTGTGCCGATGACCATCCTGGGCACCGGGCGAATTATGCCCAGCAAGAAGGACCGACCTGGTTCCCCGCCGGTTGTCGCGGCGTCCCACCAGTTTTCGCCGGTTCCGCCAGCCAGTCAACACTCAAGCTAAGGCAGCTAAGATTTGAGATTCTAACTGATTCTAACTGTGCTTGATGACCTAGTCGTTTGTCCTAAGATGGTGGATGCACCTCGTTGGAAGTGTCTCACATAAAGACCAGGAGTACCTCCTCTACCAGAACAATGCTGGGGTGAAAATCATTGTGCATCCCAAAGTGCCAGTGCAAGAGGTGGAAGACACGCCAGCAACCTGGGCTGAACTTAGAATGACAAACACCAGGACCGGTAGGCGATCATAGATACCTACTGTCTGAACATCTATTAATTTGACAATGTAGGGGCACCTCGTAGCTGCAAGGATGCTCGCAGACACTACTTGTAGCGATGTGCTTAGAGGTCCACCTCTTTAGAGCCATTTTAAGCCTGTGCAGCCTGTGCTGAAGGATGATGTTCTGTTGCAGAAGCTGCGAGACACTATTGAGTCTGCCCTGCCACCCCAACTCCAAAGTGCAAAATGATCCCTGGCAGTGAGCGCTGGCAAAGATCACTGGCAGCTTTGGCAGCTGCCAGATTGCGCCGGACCAGGGCAAAAGCAGCTGATGGATGTCGGACCAGCTGGTGAGATGATTTCAGATGCCAAGTCTTGCTAAGTGGTGCCAGGAAATTACCCAGGCATCAAATTCGTTTGAGGTTGCCACATGGCAACACGTCGTTTTCTGATGTAGTGCTTTTGCTCGACCCCATGAATTTTCCAAACGTATGCGAAGGGTTTGATGCAAGATTTCATCATTCATTCACCAATCCGTTCAATCAACAGGAGATTTGCTTCAGTCGGGTCGGATCACGACCACATTGATTGACATTTTTAGCTCTTCGGGAGAGCTCGATCTCAAAAATTGGGCTGTGGCAGTCGGGGCACGTTGGATGATGCTCATGGCAGCCATGATGCATCAGTTTCGTAGCTCATCCACCCATCACACTAGCTGCTTCCAGCAGCACGAGAGCAAGATCTCGCTCCACAAAAAACATCTAAACTCGTCACAACTGCATAAATGTTCAAACCAGGAGAAGGAAGTTGAAGATAGCTGGGAGAAGGTTTTTAGTCTCTTGGCACATTTGCGTCGGAACAAGCTATGCTGTTGCTGTTTGAGTTCAGAAGTGGAGCTCTTTTCATTTCTTGTTGTGATGACATTGGCGTTGCATGTTTGTGCAGATTGGTTCATGTAATGGTTGACATTGACTTGGTTGACTGGGCTTCGATTGTCAAAGACTTGAGAATCTTTCTTGAGGCCAAGTTGCACATGATAAACTCAGGAACTTTTGAATCCATTGATGCTGGCCTCAAAGAGGGCGCTGCGAATGTTGATGAGGCCGAAGCTGCAAACAGGACCAGTGAGAGAAGCAGAGCTTGCAAGTTTTAGGAGCATAAGTGTATGTGGCCACTTCATGAACATTCAGAAGAGTGCGACTGAAGTAGCCACAAGTCTTGGCATGAGTGGGGCTGGCCATGTATCATGTTCCAGGAAAAAACGGCAGCAAAGCTCTCATTCCATGCCTAGCCATGGCAGCGCCTTGGGCCTTGTCATCCATTTTTCTTTGTGGGACCGATGCCGGGCCCCAATATATCAAGCATGGTCCATGGTGCATATTAAGTGCATATGATATCACATGATAAGAGGGACACGGGGTGCACTGGGTGATAGACAACACCTATCAACCGCGCTGGGGCTGTTCGTTGCAATCATTTCCGGTCATAGAATCATTTCTGTTTTCCAGCTGAAGTGGGCCAGGTGTCCAAAGGCTTTGATCATCCGTGCGTGGACAAGAGATGTTCCACATGACAATCGCACTTAATGAAGTAGGAGCGGGCAGCAAACAAGTAGACTTGTCTTTGGGAGCACTGCGTCACTGTGCAGAGATTCTCGCTCGAAGTCCAATGACCAAAGCTGAATGCTGAGATTGTATTGGGAAGCTCACGAGCCATCCCTGGTTCGACATTTTCTTTGCACCTTGGCAGAATCCTTTTTGCTGTGATGAAGAGTGCTCTTGTTTTTATATACTAGCTGGCTGTTGGTGGCGGCGGTGGCCGTTTTGCGTTCCTGTCAGAACCTTTGATGAGACTACAAGGTTTCCTCGTAAGATCCAGTCCGGAGTCCAGAGTACAGATGCTTTACCAACCTGTCAGGGCATCTGTTGCTGTTTGTTTGGAGTTGATCCCGTGGTGGCCTTGCTTTTGGGGGTCTTTCGCCGGAAGGTATTCATTTGCATTGGATTTCGGATTGCTCCTTTGGTTCCCTCAGCCTGTAGCCTCCTATAGCAGCATTAATTTCCTCCTATAGCAGCATTAATTTCCAATTCCCAATCCCACGAGAAGTGGGATATCAGGCCTGCATCGTCGTCACGAACTCCATTTTCATTGGAATCGAGGACAGAAAGAATGGCAAACAGAATTGAAGTAGTATTGGCAATTGACCCTGTTGTTCTTCTTTGAGACTTGCAAATTCGACACGCTTGTGGCTGCACCTTTTGGACACGGGCAGGGTGCTTACTCCCTGTGAAGGTGAGCTACAGCACAGCCGGACATGATCCTCTAGCCATCACAGTCACTTGGCACTTTGAAGGTTTGCCGGTGTTCTGTGGCTGTTTCATGGAACAAGCTATCGGTTGGAGCTGCAACATCAATTTTAAATCAACGGTGTTTGATAATGAGACCAGGCTAGTGATGTTGAGAGTACACCTCTATATCCGGTACATGCAGTAATAATCAATAGAGTCATTGAACGTGAATATCATTGTCTGGACGCGAATTGCACACGTTCTTTTTCTCAAAGCGGAACCACCCACAGAATCGGTTAGGAGCAGACAGGACTTAGTCTTCGATGTTGGATATTAGACATTAGACCTTTCCTTCCTTTTCTTTTATACTTACCTCTAATTAGCGATGGCCTCCAACCTAATTCAGAGAACGATGCGACGCTCCCCCCAAACCCCACTCCCCCCAACACATGCCCTGCCAGATATATATTGCACAATATAGTGATAGTGACTATAGTGCGCTGAATTGAATAAATGTGGCTTTTGGCCGATGTTGTGTCAGCAACCTTATCTTAGAATGGCTTCTGAGAGTTGTTTCTTTTGAGGTGCTGGCTTCTGCTGAGACCTGAACAAAAACCCAGCTGAACATATGTCATTGAGAGCTTCCAGTGCATTTCCCTATCTCCGAGAAGCAAGAAGGGTAGACAATGGAGGGATCAGAAAACACGGTTGGGAAGAAAGGCAGGTGAGAATGGTAATGGGGGCAATGATATCTACTAACCCTAAGGGTCAACATATATAATATCACCGTTACATATACACATATCAACCAAAAAACACACGCTGGACAAATAAGTAGAATTCAGAACACGATGGACACTGGACACAGGCATGCTAATTTGAACTGAATGGCACACCGGGTGGGGAAAACATGTGGAAGATTGAAGAAACAAACTGCTACGTAAGTTGCACTAAATTGCATTCGGGTGGGAAGAAACATGATAAACATTAGACAAACAAATAGCTATATAGGTTCCACAAAATTATGCTGTGAGGAAACGTATGCAGAAGACTGGACCAAGGAAGAGCTAAGTTGGACTAAATTGCACACTGTGGGAAGAGACATGATGAACTTGGCCAAAGAAATAGGTAAGTCCCGCTAAATTGCACTGCAAGACACACGGTGAGGGAAACGCATGTAGAAGATTGGACAAAGAAAGGGCCAAGTCACCGCACGTTGTGGGGGAGTCAGACATGTGGAAGATTGGTGAAATGATAGCGATGGCCTCCAATCTGTATTTGCCTTGTTTCATTGTTGAAATGCTCTGTTGTTCGATGTGCGCGCTTCACAACAGAACAAGTCATCGTGCAAGGTTGCACTGACAGGGAATTAGCACAGCTTCCAGTGTCATGACTTGTTGCAAACGAAACGTGTTTGGAGGGCGTTGATGCCACAGGAGGTAGAACACAACACAAACCAGTTTGAACCCAAAAGCTTTCCAACCGCAACGAAGTAGCTTTCAAAGGAGCCGCACACTGGCACACCTGTCCTTTGGAATTGAACATGCTGGGCCTTTACCCCCACAGCCACAGGATTCTCAAAGGTTCTCAAAGAAAGTGTGACTTGCCTACTAGCGTTGGTCTCCAACCTACTGGCGATGGTCTCCAACCGCAACCAAGCAGGTTCTCAAATCGATCGTTTTTCTCAAATCGATCCTTGCAGGTGATTCGCCATTCCTACGGCTTGATCTTCACCGTGGAGCTGTTAATGAGAGTGACAGCTGTTGGACGAGCGTTCTTCTGCACAGATGACTGGATGTGGAACTGGTGTGGCGCTTAGAATTGGAATGTTGAATGTCTTTTGTAGACAACTCGGACCTCAAAAAACCTGAGAACTGAAATGCTCTGGTGCATGGAGCACGTTGAGGTTGGACGTCTTCATTGTGCCCCTTGGCATCTCTTGGCCTTCCGTCGACGTTCCGTGATGCGAGTTTCGAACATATTTCCATATTTCAGCTGATGATGCCTGTGTGATGCCGTGATAGTCGATAGTTGAGATGCTTGAGATGAAGAGCGATGCTTGAGTGCAGGCTGACATCAATAGAAACAATGAAAGCTACTAGGAACAAGTGCATCGCTACTAGTAACAAGTGCCTTACTAATAGTAACAAGAAGCTATTAGTAACAATAAGCTACTAGTAACAAGTGCATCGCTACTAGTAACAAGTGCCTTACTAGTAGTAACAAGAAGCTAGTAGAAACAATAAG